ACATTGCTAACAATCAATTCAACGCGGATAATCTCTTTAATTAACAGTACATCGATAGGAAAATTTTTGAGTTTTTCCATCTGTAATATTCCATAATGATTAAGAGGGTGTTCACATCATTCATATTTGTGATTTAACATTTTATATCTACATATATATATATATATATATATATTATCATTAGCCATTTGGGTCCAAAATGTAATAAATATCTCATTATTACATTTACTATTTTCCTTCGCTTAAATCATGCTCACACTCGAGTGTGTTCCCTTCAGCAATACATTATTAATTGTATCATAAATCATAATTTGTTTAAAATTATTTTTTGTGATAAAAAATATAATTTAGTTACGGATAATAGTATTCGAACAAAATGGGTAACTCGAGTTTCCCTTAATACTATCTATTGAAGAAAATAATTTCCAACACATGTGCCTTAATCTAAAGCTTTTGCAAAGCACAAGAAGAAGGAGAAGAAAACTTCAATATTGCCACATAGAGTAGGGAACACTTTTGAAACCCATAAAGCCAGGCGTTTTGTTGGCGAAATTAAAGGGTGATGGGGATAATAAACCCTAGGGAATGCCTCAAATTATTTTGATAGTGACACTGAATGAGTATATGAGACTATGCCTTCAGCAAAAGCTTTAATTAGGCCACCAATCTTTTTCAATGAAACACTATATTTGTTGTTACCCCCCTCAAAACAAAATCACCATCTTAACTTTTTAAAATGTTTTTCTTTCTTCTTTTTTTTTTTTTTGAATTTTGGGTTGTTCTAATTATTAAATGTAGTTTTCAAAAGACCCAATAAAAGGGTCATATATGCGTCCCTTAATATTATCATAATCATTGCTAGTCCCCACACGTCTTTGATTTTTATTTATGTTTTTTAATTTTTATTTAGAAAGAAATTAAAAAACGAATCTGTTCGATGTCAAAATCTATTTGATTTGATGATTTCATTTTGTTTAAATTAATTCTAATAAAAATTGTTAAGGGCCACTAAAATTAAATTTATTTTTATTTATTTTATATTTTTCCTATGATTTATATTTGGTATAATATACAAAAAAAAGTTTTTAAAATTGTTAAAAAAATATAAATAAATCTTTATATTTTTATTACGTTTAATTAAAAATAAAATATTATTTAAATATTTTTAAATAATTTTGAATTTTATTTAAATTTATTTATATTTTTTGTTAATTTTAACCGTCAGATTAATAACTGGACTTTGTACTTTCAAAATGAAAAGGCCAGCAGAAAGAGAACGAAAATAAAGCGTCGGGCCCACCGAGTCGTAGTCCCTCGTGTAATGAGCTGGTGACGACGTGGCACCACAAATAAAAATACAAACAGATAAAGACGAGAATAATGATTACATCATCAGATGATAAAAACGGTTTTCCGAGCATGATTCCGTTTTCACCGTTGGAGCCAAAGTCCGAATAGCCGGAAACTTCGTAGTTCGTGCCGTGTTCGAATCCTGAGGGTTCAATCCTCTACGGCAAAGATTCACGGCCCTAACAATGGGGGCTAGCTCTTTCCACTAACAACATATGTAAATTTACTCTGAATTTTGATAAATATATTTTTCCTGTTTTACAAAAGAGAAAAAGAAAAATTAAGAAGAATTTAAATTTCATATCATAATTTTCAATATTTATCCAAAGATTTGAATCTCGATTGCATTTGTTTTTATTAAATTCAGTATGAGAGTGAGAGCTTGGGATGTCCTTTAATATGGTATAAATGAATATAAATGTAATAAGTTGAAGTTATTTCAATATCAGGTGGGGGCAAATTCAAATAAGAAAGAAGTGACTTGTCTGTAGAATCTTTATTGAGGTTAATGTATAGTCTTTAAATAAACTTACTGCTATCACTTTCCCCCATCAATTGGACCCCTCTCCCTCTCCTTTTTCACCTATAGCGTTTGGGTGGATTTTTCTTGGAAATAAATGAGTGCTTTTTAATATTCTCTATAATTATTTTTTTTATGTCTGAAGACTTGTTGAATTTTGAATTATATTATAAAAATAAAAAATATTTTTTTCACATTTCACAAAATTTTATCATTGTTCATATTTCGAACTCAGACAGACCTTTTAAATAAAATATATCAAGATTTAACTATCAAATCAATAATAGTTTAAAATCTATTGATCAAGGGGTGTTTTTTTTTTTCTTTGCATAAATCAAAACTCAAAAAACCTCTAAATAAAAATGACTTGAATTAAAGTATTTCATTAGATTGTACTTGGAACATAATCAACTTTTATATAAATAAATTGAAATAAAAATTCTAGAATATTTGAAAAGAAAGCACCAATAAAGGAAAGACAATGATCAAGAAAGAAGAATCTTTCTCAAGGTTGTGGGGTATATATATATGTAACGAGAGTTCTTGGTCTCCAAGCCAGAAATTGCTTCTTTTATAGGCTATAAGGTGCTTTCTTCAAAAAGCCATTGAATTGTCTGTCGAACAAGTCAAATTACTTTAGTTAAACAGTTGTCATGTTGGAAATTACTTTGAGTTAAGCTTCATAGACAAGATCAATTAATACGTATTAATCACAACAGTTAATAAGATTAGATATATACACACACAGTACAATCTTTTTGTAATATAATCATCATCATTAAATTGAAAAACCCATTAGCATCCGAACATTTAATTTAGTGATAATTAAGTCGTAATTTACTATATTTTCTATAAACAAAAACAACTTTAAATATTGATGAGAAAATCAAAGCAAGGGATGTAGGAATGGTCTAAATCAAGGTAAATATTACAAAGAAAACTATTCCAATGTTCTAGAAAATCTAAGGTTTGTATAGATTAGTGAGATAAAAGATGTTCGTTTGATAATTTCATGGGAAACATCAAAGAAATTTCCCAGCGTAACTAAAAAATTCCAACCCATTCGAGAAATACTGGTATTTTCCAGCGGTTGGAATAAATCCATACAGCATCTAGAATACATAAACAGTGGAAAATATCATGCTTTCCCGTGGCGTTATGTGGAAATTATCTATATCTATTCCACCTAAGCTGTTGGTAACTTTCATGCTATTGGATATCTTTGTCAGATGACTGGTAAGAGATAGGTTGAAGTCAATGTTTATGTGAAATTTCCCAGTCTTTTTCTTGGACAACTCGTTCTTTTCCATGATAATATATCCACGTATTTGTTTACACCATCACTATTCATTCATATATAGTATGCACACTCGATCATGCATATGCAACGGACGGTAATTGACGCATGAGGTGTTCTTAATTAAAAGTGGGATTATACTCATTAAACAAATCATCTCAATGGTGATTGATATCAATCCAAGAATTCTAGAAGGAAAAACGAGAAGAAAGATGAAGTCGGTGTGAGCAGTAGGCAGGGTGGTGAAAAGAGAGAAGAAAAGAAAACGCGGATATATATAAAGATCATCATTGACAATGAGATTCAAATTTAGCTAAGCTAAAGGGGAAAAGCACGTTCACTTTCAAAGCTGACAAAGATGTACAGGACGCGGTGGAGGCTGGCAATTGGTTGGTATCCCCATGTTTTCATGCAACAAATCAGGGTTTTTTTTTTTTCCCGTCCTTTCGTCATTTTTTATATCGAGAGAATATTCTCTATTTTTAACACCCTCCTCTTGTCCTTGCTTCGTATAAAATTCTTTCTTAGTTTAATTCCCTTCCCCCATGAAAACAAGACAAAAAGGGAAAGAAAAAAGTTACCAAGAAATAAAGAAAAAAACCCAAAAGGCCGGTTAACTTTCCTGCAAGCATGAATCTCCTCAGGGTGGGAAGCTTTGGTTTGAAAAGAAAGTAAGTTAATGTGGGGGGTTCTATGCACATCCACACAATCACATGAACCTTTCTTCTCTTTCAATAACCGATTCCCAATCAATCATCACCTGTTAATTTTCTTTCTTTTTTCCCCCCTTCAACTTTCTCTCATCATGTTTTTTTCCTGGCTATATCTGTTACATATATCCATCTGGCCTATATATTTTTCAGAACAACTTCATGGAAAAAGTTAAAAAAAGGATGTCATCAGATCACAACATTGCTTGAAGAGACTTAAAACATGTTATACACATTATACTTGCAACATACATGGTTTCAATCAGCCTCGTAACACAAATAGTTGACAAATATGACATGTTAATTTAAACTTAATCGATATCTATAATTTATATACGTAATTTTATTAATATAATGTAAATTGCTCTTTAAAAAAATTTTAAAAAAAAAACAGATATATTGACAGGTATATATAGATTCAAGGTTGAGAGCAGGCACATGTAACTAAAAAAAAATTAATTTATGATACTTAAGACAGAAGACTAAGGTTAAGCCTTGTGGCTTAAGAAATACATTGTGGGATTGTTCTTGTCAGGGACAGGCACATTGGGTGCAGAGGTTAAGGGAATAATTCACGTGATTCATGATCTTGTTCAGTTCAGTTAATCTCAAGGAGGTGGCTACTCATTTCAGTAGACAACCCACTTGGCTTATTATTATGGCTTTCTTGAATCCAATGTTGGTCCTTTTTACAATTATTGTAAGTTTTAAAGAAAAGAAAATAAACAATTAAGTTCAGGACAACTAAAATACTTGATATCCAATGGTAAATTATCATCTAAACAAAAAAGGTTCCTAACATCAAATTAATTAATTGGTGAATTACTGCCAAAATTAAGACCCAGATAATCAAGTGTACTGAAATTTATAATATTGGTCCAATTAATTAGTGCCATGTGAATTTTCTGAATAAGTAAAATCTTCATAATTTAATAATTGAAACATTAATTACATCAAATGAAAGGAAGAAGATGCAGACATGTAGCTCTTTTCATTTAACTGGCAGTTGAAAACAACTCGAATAAAATAAACAACCTTAAATGTATGTTTGGGTTTAAGTAGGAATATGATTGGAACATATGAACATGGAATCAATGCGAGTTTAATGCTTAGAGGAAGATTGGAAAAAAAATAAGAATAAATTCACTACCATAAGAAAGAATTCATGTACATGGAATCTTTCCCAGTTATCTGTTAATGAAAATGTAATAATCTGAACAAGATTTGGACAACCATGAATCTATCTATACAAGTATAATTTTCTTTTCTTCATCAGAATCCAAGAAACTTTCCAACCTAATAATTAAATTACCTAGTGGGGACAGACTGTTTCAAATCATATATTCCTAGGAAATTAACAAGCCAACTTGCTGCATCAACAGTATATATTCCTTCAACTTTAGTAGTCCCATAAACACCCCAAATCTTCTATATCTTCATAAGATTTGCTGCTCCCAAGTTCAATACTCTTGGAAAGCACCGATGAAATCTCAGTGTTGTTGATTTCAGTGCTGAGGCCGGTATCTTGTGAGAGACTGACCATGGACTGATTTGATGAAAACTGCTCCACCTTGCACTGCCTGTCAGCTTTACGTGTGTCAGCACTGTTATTGGCAGCCAATGCTCTTAGAATCGCCTGATCATTGCCTCCAAGGCCGGTGCTGTAATTGCTTGGAGCTGCTCCGCTGGTCCTCCCTTGGTGCGAGTAGGCAGAATTTGGGGTGCCTTGATGGAAGAAAATAGGATTTTGGATTGGAATTTGAGGGTTGAAAATAGAGCTTCCTGTCTGATGATAATGGTTATTGGGAGCCTGAAGAAAGTTTTGATTATTATTCATGGTGGGGAAGTTGGAGCTGCCGGGATAGTTTCCTTCTGAGGATCTTGGCATTGGCGTTGTATCGATGGCCTTGAATTCATTTTGACCATCGGTAAAGCTCGAGCCGGCTTTGTTGGAGTAAGTAGGATCCATAAGAGGTGGCAGTGAAGTATAGTCCATAAGATCATCTCCGAAAGAATTCATTCTTAACAGGTGATCAGGAATTGGTTTCTTGATCCCTGAATTCTTGTGGAAAACCCTACAAACAACCCACTCATCCTGCAACCACAACAAAAAAGGAAACCTATTCAAAGACCTTCATATAAGTCTAGATTCTTCATTTACACAAAAGCAAAGAAAGAGACCCCATGAAAAGAAACCCTCAACCAACAAAACAGTAAAAAGACGATAAAATTAAAAGGCTGCAACTCTTTTTAATTTAATCAATGTTTTTTTTTTTGGATCAGTGAAATTGAAAAAGCTATAGTTTCTTAAACAGAAAAAGAAAAAGAAACCTCAAAAAAAGGAGATGGAAAAAAGCTTTTGAAGTGTAGCTTTAGTTGCATACCTTTGCACCCTTCGGGAGATTATAGTAAGAGAATTTGCCTTCAAGCCTATATTCATGCATGACCCAATTGCTTTTCTCTCCTTTGGGAGCTCTCCCTTTGTAGAATACAAGGGTCTTCTTCATCCCAACAAGGCAACCTTTTCCTTTGTAAATCTCTTTATCCTTGCCAGTTGCCTTCCAGTATCCCGCTTCAGTTGCTCGATTTGTTCTCATCCCGGTCGGATACTTCCTATCTCTCTGGCAAAAGAAGTACCATTCTTTCTCTCCCATCTTAGCTTTCTCTGCAAAATTAAGCAAAAAAAATCAAAGATTAGATACAAATACAAGGCAAATAACAGCAGCAAACTACTTATAACAAAACTAAACATCCAAGCGAAGAAAAGAAAAAAAGTCATATAATTGAGGCTAGCCTAGCATGAAAGGAGGGTCAAAAAACAAAATCAAGAGAAATCTTACTAGGCAAATCCCAAGGTTCACACTTGTTCAAATCAACTTCACCAATAGCACTTGCACTGAAGTTGCTGTTCATTACCTTCTCTGTAAGATAATGAGTTATGATCTCCTCATCCGTCGGGTGAAACCGGAAACCAGGCGGCAAATCGATGAGGTCTTCTCCTTTGTTAACAACGATAGCTTCTTCCATTGAAACTCCTCTAAATACTAAAACCCTTTATAGAATTATACAAAAGCAAACAAACCCAGAAGAAAGAAATACAAAGCAACTGCTATGGGAAGCAAAGAGGGGCAAGAAGAGATGGATATAGGGAAAGAGAGGGAGAAATATATCAGGCTTTTGCAGAAGAAAAATGAAGGGAAGGCCGTTAAGAAAGTAGAACAAAGGGCAAAAAGGGTGCTTAAATAGAGGAGCTTGTTGAAGAGCTAAATGTTAATTGAAAGAGATCCGTAGGCTGCAAGGCACTTGCCAAGGAAGCCTGATTGGGTAATTCATTGAATTTTGTTTTCTTCTCTATTTTATTTGTTTTTGTAATTCATGTACCTTTCTTTGCCACATCTACCTGTTTGAAAACAAATATGAATTTTTTTTAACAAAAAAAAAAAACAAATGGTAAAAAGGAGGTTTCTAAGCTAGTGGGGGACCCATGTTTCCAGCACACTTTCACATTAAAATATACGACCTTTATCTGTTTAAAACCTAACCCCAGCTAAAAATTCCATTGCCTCATCGCAGAATTCTCATTTCCCAGAAAACCTCTTTCTTTTCTTTTATATAACAGCTCTTACTTCAAAGCTTTTGAAAAAAAGTTGATTTTTTCAGTACCAAAATGCTGCTGCTGCTGCCTCCCTTTCATGGTTTTATCTGAATTTGTCAAGCTTTGCAGCAGTAGATTTAGGTGGCTTTGGCTATATAATGCAGCCTACTTCACATGTACCTACACAAGTTGAATATGCAATGTATTCTTTTGTGTATTCTTGTATGACTCGGTATACACGAAACTAATTTTAAGAGGGGAGGCCTTGGAACAATTAAAAGTGATCATTCTTTGCTAATTCAAAGGAAACCACTCCATTTGGAGGGAATCTAGGGGTGCTATAGACACTGAAAAAGTCAAAAGATAAAGAAAGAGGGCAAGGCAATGAAATTTCATGGAAATTCACACGACACATCTAGCTGCCCTTCTAACATTATTAATTACTCTCAGTCTTAGCTTCAAATTTTCTTACCAATTTAAAGATATTTTGTTGCAATCTTTTAGATAGATATTTTTCTTTTGTGAATTTACTCGGCCATTTCTTTTTTGGGGGTCACCTACGTGTAGAAACAAAAAAATTTGCTCTTTTATTGTGCAAATATTAGTTTCCTTTTATGACCAATTAAATATAAATATGAATTTAAGTTTTCAAACTAATACATTCACACGTTGCAGTACATGAATACAATATTTATTTAAACATAACACACGTGAGTATTGGATTTAATATGAAATGCTTGAATAACAAGGGGGGAGGGACCTTTAATTTTGGCTAATATTTGGAAAAGATCATTGGACAAAAAATTCACATTTTTTAATATTTATATATTCCATTCCAAACTTTTATATATATAATATATATATACATAATCAAATTATTTAGTCATTGTCCAATAATGACAACGTTATACTCCTATTTTAACTGGTTCTACATGATCCATTCTTGAGTCTCTTTTGGCTTTTTTAAAGATATTTCCATATGAAAATCGCATCTGTAATGAATCAAACCTAGAAAAATGCTTGGCCACAAAAATCAAATTTAAAAATTTCCAAACAAACCTTGTTGACAAAGACATTATTATTTTTGTCTTATCTCAACCATCAACTGCCAAAATTCTTAAGAAAAAAAAAATGAATGGTACCAATTAAAATATTATCATGTATTAATTATCTAATTTTTATTAAAAAATAAAATTGTATATAATTAATATCTATATACAAAATTGACATTTTCCACCAAAAAAATAAATAAATAAAAGTACATATATATCAGTATACAAATTCCAATTCGATTTCTCTTGAACATGCTACGATTTCATAAACATGTTTTCATAATTTTGACTACCCAAATGTTTCATGTGTAGGACTTGAGTGAAGCCACGCGTATGCTTCCTAATTTATGACATAAACCAACGCATAGATTTAGATTGAAAAAGTTAACTTTCCCGGCGCCGACAAATGGAAAAACTAAGCTCTGAACTATAGAACAAAACAAAATATTTATTTCCTATTGTCATTTCGCATAGAATTTGTACACAACTTCTTTGCGCAAAATCTCAACCACTAAGCTACTAGTTAGCTTATTGACTTTTTAAAAAAAAATAAAGAAAAAGAGTTACGATAAAATGATAAAATTTAATTCGAAGATCAAATTTATATTATTTTTGATTACGTGACTTTTTCAATATGAATAACTCGTAAATAATTAATATATATTTGTTATTTATACGTTTGAATCTTTACATACACGTGTTATTTACGTATCGATAATTTTAAAATAAAATAATTTAATAGAAATGCATGATTACTTTTCAGTGATGTTGCGAAATGAAATAATTGTATTACTTTATTATTAGTATAATTAGTATATAATTACTGGTGGATTACATCAAATCAAAAGAGTTGTATTAGTAGTTTAGAAGATTAGGTGGGGGCCAACCAAATCGATGCCACATTCTTGACATTCTTAAGCCGGAGACGCTGAGCTGTAGCCTTACTTAATTACTTTCCATATTAGATTTAACAATGTGTTCACATTTTCTTGGTTTATTTTGTCACTTCATCATTAATTATTATATTAATCAAAGATGATAAGCTATAATAGCAAAACTCAAATTGTGGAACGTAGGATACGGAACAAAATCCGCAATAAAATAAAATAAGCAGAATTTTTATCTTTCATGATATTAACAAAAAAAAAAAAGAAGGGGAAAATTTTGTTCAAAGAATAACGTGTGGACCCCACAAAAGAAGGCTTGAGAAAGTGTTAGCCTAACTCTCTTAACTTAAATCTGTTGACTTTTGGGGGCCGAAAGGAAACTGCAAAGCAAAGAAGCCCGACCAATTGGTGACGATTGGTGACGCGCTACACCTCATCGGCTGTTTTGATCACATGGGAACAGGCTGTTGGTCCAAGTGTTGCACCACCACGTGAATGCCATGTAGGAGAACACCCCCCCGGAAATTAGTAGGACATCAGTTCCACCGCATTTTGAATGTGATCGGGCTTTGGGTAGCAGAGACGAGCATGATTAAACTGTTATTCGATGATTTATCTAATGTTAAATTTCTAGGTGTTTATTAGTGCGAATATGGCAATTCATTCTTAAAGCAAGTAATTAATGTCTTTAATTCAAAATTAAAGAACTGATACAGCATATGATTACAGATACAAAAATAATAATACGTTTATTCAATGATCGAGAGAAACATTACTCCACATTTATACATTAGATATTGTATTAATTTGTTGTTTTTCGAATACAAAATAATCAACGATAACTTCGTAATTACTCATTAGAACATGATTGTTCCGCGCTTATTTGATGATGTAAAGTGCACCTAGTGGCAGCTATTTCTGTCCCTTCGAGCCACGAGATATGAATATCATGATGTCATTCAACTTGCTATCAAGCCATGGGGTAGTCGAAATAATAAAATCATCCAACTTGAAAAAGGATAACATCATTGGGAACCCACGACCACAAAATATATTTTATTTTTTATCTTTTGGAAATGAATCTTGGTCTTGTAGTGGAAATCTTAAACCTTAATTAATCTCCGTAATTTGTTTAAACATGAAGAAGACTTAAGAATCAAGTGGGGTAAAAGCTACTGTATGGTATAAACAAAACTATTGTAAAGTTGGAATTTAGAAGCTCTAGGCGCCCTATGGAGAAACTCTCCCCACTGTTTCATGGTTTGAGACAGTTGGCTGCCATTAAGACAGATGGGAATAGAATCATATTGTACAAAGGAGAAAAGGAATAGGGTGAAGGCAAATTCATTTATTCAATCACATGTGAGGATAAGATTATTTAATCGCACATTTAATTAGAATGACTAATTAAATAAGGGGTTTGGGCTACATACAAAGTCAAGATAATTGACTTTTTCTCTTGTGTTTGGTGGAGAGAGTTTTACAGTGGACTTTTCTTGGCTAACCTCTCCACTAACCAAACTGTCCTAACCATCAAATTAACTAACAGACCGAACTGTAGAGGAAAGTAACATATAAATAAGCTATGTGACAGATGTGTCTTTGTCTCTGATTACTACCCGAAAGACCTGAAAAAGGAAAATTGATTTCTTGTAGGCATCACAATTGCTAAACTCATAAAGATCCTATGCAAGATATAATTAATTAGGATAGTTTCAAGGAAATCACCTTTGACGCTCTTTGGATGACCAGGAAAAAACCCTTAAAGCAGACTGGATAAACCTCAACTAATTCTTGGCTTATGTAATTAAGCCATTCTGGTTGACAACTTGTCAAGTGGGGTTCTCTTTTTTTTATTTTTTATTTTTAAAAAAAGATTGATCGAAATCGTGAGATATGATTTCGTATGCTTACTGTTACTGAATTTTGATTCAATTTAATGCTGTGATTCTTATTGATCCCTCGAAATAATTGAATATATTTGACAACAAAGGCTTTGAGCAAAATAATTGCAGTAGGATATGATTGCTGGTGTTCTAAGCTCACCATGCACACCACACCCAGCGGTTGCTTTAGTTGAGGAATTGGGGCAAATGATTCTTTAATGATGCAGAGAGTTAAGATAATGACAATGACAGTCATCAATCCCAATGCCTCCAAAAAATCAACCTAAGAATCAGTGGCTTATTGTATTTCGAGCTGGGACCTCTTCTTTCTCTCCTTATCTTCTCCTTTTAGAAAGGAGAAAAGAGGAGTGGGGTATTGCTTCTTGGTTCTTGTCAAGTTGTACTATGAAAATACTCTGAAAGGGAATATTCCCCAATCTTCCCAAGCAAATTCATGGCAATTTATGTGATGTATTGAATCTAGACCTACTTGTTTTCAATTATGCATCTCCCTTCTTTCACCTAATGGAGTATGGGCTTAAATTATGGTAAATGAGAGAACAAAAACTAAAAGACATAAGAGACATTGATGCAACTCCATGTTATGTTTTCTTCTTGAACTAATGTCCAAATGTTATCATATGTTTTGCCGAAAAAAATTTGTACGAGAATTGGGGGGTTGGTATGGTCAATCTTATGCTCATCAAGGAAATGACTACAAATAAATTTGCATACGCAAAGGGGATGTGGGCATCATGTCAAGTTCATTACATAATTAAATCCAAACCCAATTATGAGAGTAAAGAGATT